AAACGTGCAATTGACGATTATTCAATATTTCAGTGGCGTCGAACTTTGAACTTACCAATATTGCGTTGATGTCGTGTACGGTGTACACGAGTAGGTATACATTATTATATTCAAATGCTCCAGACTCGTATTTATAAATTGAGAGTTTAGGATTAGTTTTTTCACGTCAATCACATTTTTAAAATGTGATCGAACCTAGGCCACTGATTATTATGATAATTTCGTTGTCCACAATATTGTGGTGTGACACGCGATAAAATATTATAGTAAGGTCACTGACTAGGGCACTCGTTTATGCATATAATATATATACATTATACCTATATTATGAAGTCGTGTGGAATTAACATGTTTGATATTTTATTTCGATTTCTCTATATGGACTATTATATGGTCTATGACGTCGGTAAAATTAATTTGCACTTTGCATGTGTAGGTACAAAGTATTTCGCTGGTTGTTCGTAATTCATTATATTATATAGGTACGTATTACGTAATATTTCGGTTGACTCGCACTACACATTGCCACCGAGTACGAATGTACGGCGATTAAAAAAAGACAATGATACATTTTTCATTTATCTATTATCTTCATCAGGATACTTGAATAAAATATATAAATATTTTTTTTATTTTCATAAATATAATAGATTATAAATGTATATGTTTGAATGTTTGATTCACTCATTGTAGGGCTACAATTTGTAGAAATACAAAAATCTTTAAAGAAAATTTACATAAAACATAGACATAAATACATAGTACATAATTTTACAATATCAATATAATATATAAATTGTTAATAATTGTCATAACGACAATTTTACATAATTTCTTTTCATTTTACATAATTTCTTTTTACGATACATAACTTTTCATCACATAACATAACAATATTTTTTTTTATAACAACATAACATAATATATATTTTTTTTTTTTTATCACAGAAATAGAGAAAGTTAATAAAGGATTTTTAAAGAAATTTAATTTGATTTATTTAAAAAAAAAAAAATGAAAAAAAAACAAAGGACAGTTGATAAGCCCGTCCTAACGTCATACAATTTTTAAGTGTATGAAAGACGTCAAAACCTACACAATACATACTTTATCTTTATTCAGAATAATGTAAATTGTAAATTAGTTAGTACGTCATACTTTAGGAGCACATGAAAGACGTAAAGAAAACATGTACAACATGAAATAATGGATAAATAATGGATAATTGATTATTAAGAAAAAATTAAAAAAAAAAAAAAGAAAGACATTTTTATAAAATCACATGAATTGTTAAAATTTAACATTAAATTATATCACATGAACAACCAGATGGCATATGTTTATGACAGTTCCGTTTCTTCCACTGATCGGCATAAGCATCGATTGCAACGGCATTAGTCGATATTAATCCTAGTTTTAAAGGTATAAGATAACATCCAATAAATGGAATCATGGACAAAACTCCAAGTCTGGCGGTGGTGTTCTGAATAACTCCAGTAGCAGCAGCTATGGAAGTCACTGGCACACGACATTCATTTGGTAAGGAGGAAACCTTATTCCCCAAACAAGTCGATACATTAATGACATGAGTCATTTTTACCGCTGAACCTAATATTCCAGCAACTATGGCAGGAATACCAACAACAGGATAACATGAACCAAAAGTCGCCACGGTACTAACAAACGCATCAATGCGGGACCCGATCTTAAGGGTATCAACATAATCCTTTTCAGTGCAATCACTTGACACGCCGATGATGACGCCGACGAAAGCGAGAAAAACGAAAAAAATTAAAAATTTCATACTTAGATAATAATAAAAGACTTAATTTCGTTAATTAATAGATAATAGGTAATCTTAAGACGTTTTAGTTTTTGGCAAAACTAACAAAACAGTCAATATTTCCGGCGTTAGATAATGATTATATTAGTGGTCAAAACCGAAAAAAAAAAATTAATAAAAAAGTACGACTTATTTATAATTCATATATATCACTAACAGCTTCCAAGAAAACAAAATTAGTCAAACCTTTGATTTTTATGCAAAAACCGGAAACTCCAGAACAGTTTATCTGGAAATTTCAACAAGACGAGATATTGCTTCGCCCTTCCGCAAGTCGAATAATAGCCGATGTAGAGCTAGAAATGCTAGTTACTTGGAATATTATTCAAGTTGACAACCCGTATTGCAATCTAGACAAGACATAAAGCTTCAGTTACATAGGGAAGTTTCAAGAAGCTGATAAATTTGAATCAGGCAAAATTAGCGGTCACGAACTCCAGCAGAAATTAGCTAGAGTCGTGGATTCATTTAATTTATTATGTTAAGTTAAAATTTATTTTAAATTTAAATTATTATGTTAAGTTAAAATTAAATTATTAAATGATTGAAATTATTTTAAGTTAGGTTATTATATTAAATTATTTTAATGTTAATGAATTTATTTTATTAAAATGTTTAAAAATTTTATTTAATTTAAAAAATTATTTTATTTGATTTAGAATTGATTTAAAGTACTGAACAATATCTATCTTACTCTATTAAAATGATTGAAACACAAAATACCTGAAAATTTATTTTTATTTAATTTAATTTAAAGTTGAAAAAATTTTTAATTTATTTAAAATAATTCATGACGTTATTTTAAAATAAACTATTATTTTATTCAAATGTTATTTAATTTAAATTCGAAGAACTATAAAATTCTTTTATTTATAACAATTGTAAATTATTGTTTTATTTAATTATTAATTTAATTTAATTTAAATGATGGTAAAATTATTAATTAATTTAAATATTATTTAAAAGTTAATAACTTTTAATAAAATACAATTTTATTTTATTAAAACGAAATTCAAAGTTCTCTATGTTTCTTATTCAATTTAACACGACTGTTTTTTTTTTCACTTATTAATATATATTATGGTCAAGTACTATACCATAGGAGACGAACACCGCGATATTAATTACTTAAGCATACTTACAACGACGCAGCTGGTACAGCGGGTGCTTCAATTTGCTCGGTTGAAATATTGATTATAATAATGTGGTAAACGAGATGTGACTATTAGTATCCACTTGGTGGCTGCTCTGCTGGTGCTCGTCTGCTCGGCTGGTGTTCGTCTGACTCGATTATATTATGTTTCCAAAGTTATCTATTTGTGCTGTTTACGGCTTTTTCTATATAAATATATAACTTGAAAACTTACGCTTATTAATAAAAAAAAAACGAAGATTTTGGCATATATTCTGGTTAGGTATATTTCAAGTAAACATTTAAAAAAGACAATGATACATTTTTCATTTATCTATTATCTTCATCAGGATACTTGAATAAAATATATAAATATTTTTTTTATTTTCATAAATATAATAGATTATAAATGTATATGTTTGAATGTTTGATTCACTCATTGTAGGGCTACAATTTGTAGAAATACAAAAATCTTTAAAGAAAATTTACATAAAACATAGACATAAATACATAGTACATAATTTTACAATATCAATATAATATATAAATTGTTAATAATTGTCATAACGACAATTTTACATAATTTCTTTTCATTTTACATAATTTCTTTTCATTTTACATAATTTCTTTTTACGATACATAACTTTTAATCACATAACATAACAATATTTTTTTTTATAACAACATAACATAATATTTTTTTTTTTTTTTTTTTTTTTTATCACAGAAATAGAGAAAGTTAATAAAGGATTTTTAAAGAAATTTAATTTGATATAATATAATGAATAATAATTATGATATAATTAGGACACAAGTAATATTACATACAATAAATGTACAAAAATAACACAATATTAAGGTAAACTGAGAAAGGAGGAGTCCTCGTTAGCCAACCTCATCATGCGGTCAATTGGTTTGTTTTTACCGTAATTGGTACAGTGGAGAGGTACAGTAAAAGGTACTCGAGACCTTGTGGCCCGATGTGGAACTTTAATGTTTACTTGGATAAGCAGTGAAGGGGCATTTAAGGAACCATCGATTAACTTTTTTAAAAAGGCCAGATTAGCTTTAACGCGCCTATCTGCTAAAGATGTAAGGCTTAGTGCGCGCAATACTGGAGTATAGTCGTGAGGAGGATGGACAATTTTTAGCATGTAAGCTGCTGACGACAGAAAGCACCTTTGTACTCGCTCTAAGTGGCAATAATCAATTACCACAAATGGGTCCCAGAGCACAGACGCATACTCTAGCATGCTTCGGACTAAAGAGCAGTAGACAGTCTTGAGAGATCCAGACAGCTTGAACTCATTCATGGTGCGCATTACGAAGTCAAGCGATTTGAGGGTTTGGCAGCAGATGGAGTCAATGTGAGGGCGGAAGTTCAGATCGGCAGTGAAAAGAACGCCCAAGTCGCTATTGCTTGCAACTCTATCAATCACTGAACCACCTGGAGGATAGATGTTTGATTAATGGTTCACTGTGAGATTTATTTAGTATGAAATTTAAAGTAATATAATTTTGCTAATTGATTAAGTGTAGGAATTTTTATGCCTTTTTGAAGATTTTTGTTTGTGAAATACCAAGGAGGAGACTTTTTTAGTCGTAAGCAGATGGATTGAAACGCTTGAATAGACATAAATACATAGTACATCATTTTACAATATCAATATAATGTATAAATTGTTAATAATTGTCATAACCACATTTTTTTTTTATCATCGTGTGACAATGTGACAGTGTGACAGTCATATAGCTAATCATAGCCAGTTAGTCCAGTCCAGTCCATGAAGTCATCATCATCCAGTCCAGTCCAGTCCAGTCCGCGATAAGACACACGAGGCAATCTAGACAACTACTACTTTTAATGAGCAACACGGTCAGACACCATTCTTCAGTCCATTCCAGACCTACGTAAGTAGAAAACTCATTATATCCCCCCCCTGCTCGACCACGAGGCAAGGCACCTAAGGGGTGCCACGGCTGGGTCACGCACCGGTTGCTGGGGTTTCCAATCTTTGCACATAACCATGACTCACCGCGCTGGCGTTGGACGCAACAAACGCAAATCAACACCACCTTATACCATCGGAAAGGAAGGTCGAACTCAGGCTTTCTCACCACCACCACTACCATCAAACCCACAAGTTAAAGACTTATCAAACACCGGGAAAAAACGCAAGGCAAGCCAATCCAGCTCCGTCTCACCTTCTGGAAATCCATCAACTTCGAAGAAGCTGACCAAGGCAACCAACTATCCATCAATTCCGGACACGATTATTACCACCGACAACAACAACTTCTGAGGACAGATCCGAACATGTCGATTCTAATGATAACAGTGATACCCTGTCTACTTCATCTGTTTCTTCGGACACCGACGAGACAAACAAAACATCACATAAAAATGACCCGCAATCCGTCAATAAACGCTCAATCCACATACCACCCATCTTCGTCCAAACTTGCGCTTCATATCCATGGCGGAAGATAGCATCAGCCATGTATATAATGCAAGGTCTTGACGAAGTAACTGCGAAAACTACATCAGTACCACTACAAATTCAAATAAACTGCCCTGAAGAATCTTCATTCAGACTCGTCCAACAATTCATGACCACTAACAAAATCAACTACCACACTTTTGCATTACCCAAAGAACAATCTCTCAAGATTGTAATCAAAGGTGTCCCACTTGACGTTACTGACGAAGAACTTATGGGAAAAACTCCAAGAGATGGGGTTCAAATCAAACTTTGTCAGAGCTTTTGCCAAAAATGAAAAAAGACCTCCGATCCACATGGTTTCCTTAAAACGTACAGAAAATGTCAAAGAAATCTTTGAAATAACCGAACTATTCTACGTCCGAGTCAAAATAGAGTCATACAAGTCAACAGGTCCTGCCCAATGTTTTTCTTGCCAACGATTTGGCCACTCATCAATTCAGTGCGGGCACCCGCCAAGATGTGTAAAATGCGGAAAAAACCACCCTAGCAAAGAATGCACAAAACTGAAAGAAGATAGCCCAACCTACTGTAACTGCAATGGTAAACATACTGCTAACTATAGGGGCTGCCCCTACTACACTTATACTTGCAAAGGAAAGACCGACCAATCCAGAGACGTCATAAGAACCAAACTCATCCAGGAATCCAAGTTGAAAGTACCACCAACAAATATACCAGTATCTACAGCACATGAAAAAGCCAAAGAAACAAATACAAAATCATACGCGGCTGCAACAAAACACTAAACAGGAAAAACCGAACTCACAATTGACACATCAAAACTCTTACAAATAATTAGAGACCTCCTTACTACAGCCCAAAAATGTGAAGACGTCGCATAAAAGAATGCAGTCATCACAACAGTCCAAAATATAATCAACACCATACCAACATCCCATGATGAATGAATTCAAAATCATCTCATGGAATTGCAACGGTATCGAAAACAAAATACCAGAACTCACCGCATTTGTAAAACAAAACAAAATCGACATAATCCTGCTTGGTGAAACCCGACTAAACCCCAAAAATAAAATATCAATACCAAATTATCATGTTTACCGAAACGACCGCCGAAAAACACCAACCGCTCCCTCTTCAGGAGGAACAGCAATTTTAATACGGAAGAATATAACCCATCAACACGTCACGCTACCAACCACTGTGGAATCTACCACAATACAATTGAAACTCAAAAACAAATTAACACAAATCACGGCAGTATACAAAAGTCCTAGTGCAAATCTCCACCACAATGACCTAAACATTCTGACAAACCACAATGGACCCTTCATAATAGCCGGAGACTTAAACTCCAAACATCCGAGCTGGAACAGCTTCTCAACAAATACTGCAGGCAGAAAATTACTTCGCCACTCGGAAGCAAACAATTATACAATTGTTGCCCCTGATTCACCGACACATTATCCATATATTCAAACTCATCGTCCAGACGTCCTTGACATCATACTACTGGATCTACCGTCAATTCAATATACAATAATAAATCACAATGACCTGTCGTCAGACCACAATCCAATTCAATTCAATTTAAATGCATCACCAATCTCAAACAACCCACCTAAAACACTTAAGAAAACTAACTGGGCCAAATTCAAAACAGAACTCTCCCAAATAAAAATCGACCGCGTTCAAACACCGGAAGAAATTGACAACAAAATCGACAATCTAACAACCACCATTCGAAATGCACAAGAAAATGCTTCCTACACTCTCAAACCAAAACAAATCATATCTCAACTTCCTGATGAAATAATGTTAGAAATAATAACCAAACGACAACTTAGGAAAATGTGGCAATCCACCAGAGACCCGAGAACAAAACGTCTATACAACGTTCAAATTGCATACGTTAAAAATTTATTAATTTAACACAGACAAACGCAATGGAACGCTTTCACAGAAACGTTAAACTTCAAAAACAAATCACTATACCAACTAAACCGTCGTCTCCTCAACAAGAAAGCCGCAGACACGGCGCTACAAACAACTGCTGGCCACAAGATATTTGAAGCCGACGAAAAAGCAGAATTATTCGCAGACACCATGGAAAACCAATTCACAGGGAATACAGGAATTGACTTACAAGAAGTAAACGAAACCATCACAGAAATAAATCTTGACCAGACTACATCAAACATCTACATCAATCCCAAGCAAGTCCTAGACATCATCAATAAACTACCAAATGGCAAATCACCAGGATATGATAACATATCAAACAGCACTCAAAAACTTACCAAACAACATTATCACACAAATAGCACAAATTTTCACGGCATGGCTTCGAATTTCCTACTTCCCTAAGATTTGGAAAAAAAGCCACTATCGTCATGATTCCAAAACCAGGAAAAAACCACTCCATCCCAGAAAACCACCGCCCAATATCTCTACTCTCAACCATTTCAAAAGTATTTGAAAAGATTATCCTGGGAACTCTGCGTACATACGTAAAACCTCGGGCGGAGCAACACGCATTCAGAGAAGGCCACTCAACCACCACACAACTCTTCCGTCTATTCAAAGACATAAAAAACAATAAAAATAAAAATAAATACACTGTTGCAACATTTCTAGATATGGAGAAGGACTTTGACCGCGTGTGGCACGATGGTCTAATCTACAAATTAAAAACTAACACCGAACTTCCAATAAATACAATCAAATTAATTAAATCATTCTTATCAGATCGTTCGTTCCAAGTACGAGTAGTTCACCAACAATCAACGACAAGACAAATACAAGCAGGAGTACCGCAAGGTTCCTGCCTTTCACCTCTACTCTACATACACTATGTAAATGATCTCCAACTTCTCGACAGAATACAAACATCCATTTTCGCAGACGATACCATGTTCCACACGGCCCATCAAAACAAGAACTACGCAATATGTCAACTACAAAGACAAATGGATCAGACCGTGATCTGGATAGACAAAAGGAGACTTAAATTAAATATTGACAAGACCGAAACCATTATATTTGGAAGGAGATAGAATAAACATCTTTGACAAATAAAAATCAAAAACCAAGCAGTCAAATGGAAAAACCAAATACCTCGGCGTAACGATGGACAAAAAACTGCCAATGAATGGACACTTAAAAACTACTATACAAAAAGCAAAAGGAGTCAGAGCCTCACTCTACCCAATACTGAACCGAAATTCCCCGATTCCACTAAGGACCAGAATCCAACTGTACACCATCTACATCAAACCAATCCTCATGTACGCATCAGTCGTTTGGGCACCTCAGCTTAGCCAATCAAACTGGCGGAAGCTAGAGGCTGTCCAAAACATTGCACTCAGAACAATAACCGGAGCATATTACCTAACTACAAATGAAGCAATAAGACAGTCAACCGATATTCTATCCATTTCGGAAACAATACAGTCGGCAATAGCTGTATTTTTACATAGAGCTTCTGTATCGAGATTTCGTCACATTCGGGCTCTGACAAAATAAACCATGACAAACTGACAAATCGTCCACTACTGTGAAGGAAAAACATGAAACAAGAGATAAAAGGCAAAGCCTGGAGCTCTATATAGGCCGTAGGCCGTCCTACAAAGGCAAGTCCAACCACAATTTTACATAATTTCTTTTCATGACATAATGATTTTCATTTTACATAATTTCTTTTTACGATACATAACTTTTCAACACATAACATAACAATATTTCTTTTTATAACAACATTTTTTTTTTTTTTTTTTTATCACAGAAATAGAAAAAATTTAATAGAGGATTTTTAAAGAAATTTAATTTGATTTATTTAAAAAAAAAAAATTAAAAAAAACAAAGGACAGTTGATAAGCCCGTCCTAACGTCATAAAATGTTTAAGTGTATGAAAGACGTCAAAACATACACAATACATACTTTATCTTTATTCAAAATAATGTAAATTGTAAATTAGTTAGTACGTCATACTTTAGGAGCACATGAAAGACGTAAAGAAAACATGTACAACATGAAATGATGGATAAATAATGGATAATTGATTATTAAGAAAAAATTAAAAAAAAAAAAAAGAAAGACATTTTTATAAAATCACATGAATTATTAAAATTTAACATTAAAATAAATCACACGAACAACCAGATGGCATATGCCTATGACAGTTCCGTTCCTTCCACTGGTCGGCATAAGCATCGATTGCAATGGCATTAGTCGATATTAATCCTAGTTTTGGATATCATATTTACGTTTCGGTGTTAAGACTTCAAGCGATTCTGCTAATGTCAAATTATCTAAAAAACAATTATTTTTTGTTTACTGTAATATTTAATTTAGAAAAATCATGAATTCCTTCCATACCCCTCGCTACCTACAATTTTTAATGTGAGATATGGGTTATAGTACACAGCTAGCTGTTATTTACTAAACAAAACCAAAGACAGTTGCGTGCTCAAGGTGGGGAGTTTAGGGGTTATAGCCCCCCCATTGTATTTTTTTTCACCGAATTATTATTATTTTTTTTTTTTAGCAAATTATTATTTATTAGATATTAGAGCTGTTTCAGAGTCATTACTTGTTATTAGTTATTAGCAAAAAGTTATTACTTATTATCAACTATAAACATTCACTATACAGTCTATATAATATACCTATTCCTATACTAGTCTATATATTATACTATATAATTGACGTAGTCAAATGCTTGACAAAATCGATTTTGGTTTTTGGCGTAACTCTAAAACAAATTATTGCAGAATGTAGATATAAACCATTTTCACTTTTTGTTTATATTATTATTTTCTATACATGATACAATTTTCAAAATATTGGATTTTTTTTTCAACTGTTTACGGACATTTTCAGTTTCCAATTTTCAAATATTTTTTTTTTTCTATGAATATCAACAAAATTTAATTTGTTGGTTAAAAAAGCTTGACAATTTAATACGAGGCTCCTAATACGTTGTTACAGTAGTAGTTGAAAAATATTAAAAATACAGTCATAATTTATTTTATAAGTATTTCACTGGATGTTTATATTCTCATTTTCTAAACACCATAAAATTAAAATTTTTTGACTCATTTTGAGCTGTTAACGGACACTTTCAAATTTCAATTGTTTAATACAATGCTCCTGATATATTGTTACAATACATTTGCACAATTCAAATTTGGACAAAATTACATATTAAACCCTAGAATAACGATTTTAGTTACCTATTTAGTTATAGTTTAAAAATATTTTTCGTGGACAATTTACGTGGTTTTATGTGGTTAAGACGATACAAGTATATTATAATTTTATTTAATTATAAGTATGAAACTATGAACAATTGAACATCTATACAAAAACCCAACATTTTTTAATTGTGTCAACATATTATGTACCTACCTGTAGCTACGAAGGTTTCTTTAAATTGGAACTGCCCTTTTTCAGTAACTGCTGTATCTGCAGGATATAATGTGTTGTCCTTATTTATTTACACTTTCTTCTGTATTCCAGACGATTTAAAATTACAATTTTAACAATTTTAACAATATTATTTTTTTATATTTTGTTGTAGTCTAACCTGGAATTATATTTTCCACTAGGAACCTTGGCGATCTCTTATTGGATAATTTACTAGAAGGTCCATTTAAAGGCACCGTCTTATGCGTTGCTGTAAAATCTTAAAGAATGAATACTTAACTCAATTTTTTTAATAATGAAACATTATGTATACAATTTAACTATAATATAAGGCTGTATCTAATGGTCCAAACAAAT